ACACTGCAAACTATGCAAGGAAATAGACTCCTCATAACATGTCAGTCACACATTGTAAACTTTGCAAAGAAATAAAAATTTGAATTTGAATGAACTAAAAGTGGACATGTATTAATATGAGTTTATTTCGCCTGACCGAGTGATTGCCCATCACCCATTCAGTTTAAACAACCTTCAACATCAATAGCTAGCCTTGAACATCCTTCAACATCAACAGCTAGCCTTGAACAGCCATCAACATCAACAGCTAGCCTGGAACAGCTTTCAACATCAATAGCTAGCCTTGAACAGCCTTCAACATCAACAGCTAGCCTTGAGCAGCCTTCAACATCAACAGCTAGCCTTGAACAGCCATCAACATCAACAGCTAGCCTGGAACAGCTTTCAACATCAATAGCTAGCCTTAAACAGCCATCAACATCAACAGCTAGCCTTGAAAAACCTTCAACATCAACAGCTAGCCTTCAGCATCAACAGCTAGGCTTGAACAGCCTTCAACATCAACAGCCGGCCATCAATAGCAACACACACTCCTTCAAGAGCTTCACACAAGTCTCCAAAACGAATAAAATTAATTGAAGAATCAGAGGATGATGGTGTGCCATATACTGATTTTATTCAACAAATACATACATGTCCACTCACCTTTAACACATTCATATTAATATTTTAAGGTAACTAATAAGTGTACTCTGTGTGTATCTTACTTTTTATTTTGTTTTTTAATGCCTAGTTCTATTGCTAACTTAATATAAGTTAGTGTAAACTTGTTGTCTGGCATTTATATGCATTTATAAGTGGAAAAAATAGTGTTCCCCTTTTCGGAGATATCCACTTTAAGGCGGTAGTTTGGAACCTAACCTGTCGTATAAGTGGGGTCCTAATGTATAAGACATTTGTTTCTGTAGTCAAGGGCTAATAGAACTTTCAACCAAATTGAACGTTTTGAGGATGCATTCAAAGATTTTTTATTGGTAAGAATTCCATATAGTGTAAATCTGAATGATATTCAATAGATGAGTTAGATGGTTTAACATTTCAGTTGCATTTTTAACTGACATAAAATGAGCAGCAAGCAGTCTAACACATACAACCCTGGCTGACAAACACATATAGGAAAGCAGCTGTATACAGGCAGGCCACACTTTACAGTGTTTTGCTAATACAGGTTAGCCATCACTAATCTGGCACTAATTTCGGCTAGCATACCTTCAAATTTCCGGGGTCGCCACACCAACCTGCTGCTAGAGTAGGGCGGCCCAAAAAAGAAAAACTTTCACCATCATTCACTCTATCACTGTCTTGCCAGAGGTGTGCTTACACTACAGTTATAAAAATGCAACATTAACACCCTCCTTCAGAGTGCAGGCACTGTACTTCCCATTTCCAGGACTCGGGTCCTGCCTGCCAGTTTCACTGAATCCCTTCATAAATATTACCCTGTTTCCATTCCAACAGTATGTAAAGTCCTAAAAACCATTTGTCTCCATTCACTCCCATCTAACATGTTCATGCATGCTTGCCAGTAGTCCAAGCCCCTCGCACACAAAACCTCCTTTACCCCCTCCCCCCAACCTATCCTAGGCTGACTTTTACCCTGCCTTCCCTCCACTATAGATTTATACACTCATGAAGTATTCTATTTTATTCCATCCTCTTTACATGTCCAAACCACCTAAACAACCCCTCCTCAACACTCTGGATAATAATTTTGGTAATCCTGCACCTCCTCCAAATTTCCAAACTACAAATTCTCTGCATTATATTTACATCACACGTTGCCCTCAGACCCATCTCAAATGCCTCCAGCCTATTCACTGTTGCAACATTCACCACCCATGCTTTGCACCCATATAAGAGTGTTGGTATAACTATACTCTCACACATTCCCCCTCTTTGCTTCCATGGACAAAATTCTTTGTATCCACAGACTCCTCAGTGCACCACTCATGTTTTTCCCCTCATCAGTTCTATGATTCACCTCATCTTTCATAGATCCATCTGCTGACACGTCCACTCCTAAATGTATGAATACGTACATTCACCTTCTCCATACTCTCTACCTCCAATTTGATATCCAATCTTCCATTACCTAATTTTTTTATCCTCATCACCTTACTCTTCCCTATTTTCACTTTTAATTTTCTTCTCTTACATATCCTACCAAATTCAGCCACCAACCTCTGCAACTTCGCTTCAGAATCTCCCAAAAGCACAGTGTCATCAGCAAAGAGCAACTGTGATGCTCCCACTTTGTGTTAGATTCTTTATCTTTTAACCCCACACCTCTTGCCAACACCCGAGCATTCACTTCTTTTACAACCCCATCTATAAATATGTTGAACAACCATGGTGACATCACACATCCTTGCCTGAGGCCGACTTTTACTGGGAAATAATCTCCCTCTCTCCAGTATACTCTAACCTGAGCCTCACTATCCTTGTAAAAACTTTTCACTGCTTTCAATAACCTACCTCCTATTCCATACATCTGCAACATCTGCCACATTGCCCCCCCTATCCACCCTGTCATATGCCTTTTCCAAATTCATAAATGCCACGAAAACCTCTCTACCCTTATCTAAATACTGTTCACCTATATGTTTCACTGTAAACACTTGGTCTACACATCCCCTACCTTTCCTAAAGCCTCCTTGTTCATCTGCTATCCTACTCTTCATCTTGCTCTTAATTCTTTCATTAATAACTCAATACACTTTACCAGGTATACTCAACAGACCTATGCCCCTATAATTTTTGCACTCTCTCTTGTCCCCTTTGCCTTTATACAAAGGAACTATGCATGCCAATATCTAGGTACCTTACCCTCTTCCATATATTTATTAAATAAAAGCACCTACCACTCCAAAACTATATCCCCACCTGCTTTTAACATTTCCATCTTTATCTCATCAATCACAGCTGCCTTACCCCTTTCATTCCACCCACTACCCCACACTCAGAACTCACTTCTCTTCACTCCTACAAGATGTTATTCCTCCTTGTCCTATACATGAAATCACAGCTTCCCTATCTTCATCAACACTTAACAATTCCTCAAAATATTCCTTCCATCTTCCTCAGTGCCGGATCAGCCGGACTGTGGCTCGTACGTTGGACTGCATGTGGCCAGCAGTAACAGCCTAGTTGATCAGGCCCTGATCCATCGGGAGGCCTGGTCATGGACCGGGCCGCGGGGGCATTGATCCCCGGAATAACCTCCAGGTAACCTCTAACTCTTCATTTAATAACTCTCCTCTCCTACTTTTAACTGTCAAATCCATTCGTTCCCTAGGCTTCCTCAACTTATTAATTTCACTCCAAACTTTTTCTTATTTTCAACAAAATTTGTTGATATCTCACCCACTCTCTCATTTGCTCTCTTTTTACACTGCTTCATCACTCTCTTAACCTCTCTTTTCCTCTCCATATACTCCTCCCTCATTGCATCACTTCATCTTTGTAAAAACCTCTCATATGCTAACTTTTTGTCTCTTACTAATCTCTTTACATCATCATTCCACCAACTGCTCTTCTTCCTTCCTGCACCCACTTTCCTGTAACCATAAACTTCTGCTGAACATTACATTTTTAAACCTACCCCATACATCTTCAATCTCATTGCCTATATTCTCACTAGCCCATTTATCCTCCAACAGTTGTATATATCATACCCTAACTGCCTCCTCCTTTAGCTTATAAACCTTCACCTCTCTCTTACCTGCTGCTTCCATTTTCCTTGTATCCCATCTACCTTTTATTCTCAATGTAGCTACAACTAAAAAGTGATTTGATATGTCTGTGGCCCCTCTATAAACATGTACATCTTGAAGTCTACTCAATAGGCTTTTATCTATCCAATATGAAGTCCAACATACTACAGGTCGCCCATCACTAATCCTGCAATCAGTTATCCAGTTCCATCAGTAATCCGGCACTAATTTCAGCTAGCATAATTTCAAATTTCATCATTATACTAACTCAAATCATTATACTGAATCAAATATCCTCATTATACCGACTCAGAAATTGTACAGATGGTTGTAAATCCACAGCAGCAAGCCAGTGGAGGAGAAAGCAGTGATGAAAATGAGGATGACGTAGCAGAAATAGTCTCTATTCAAAGGTTTATTAAGTGTATTCTAACCTAACCACTCTGTAATCCGGCAAACTCACTAATCCGGCACACTACAGGTCCCAATGATGCTGGATTAGTGATGGCCGACCTGTACTGTCATTATGCCCTACATCATATCTTGCATACTTATTTATCCTCTTTTTCTTAAAATATGTATTACCTATATCCTAACTCCTTTCTATACAAAGTTCAATCAAAGGGCCCCCATTATCATTTACACCTGGCACCCTAAACTTACCTACCACACCATCTCTAAATGCTTCTCCTACTGTAGCATTTAGGTCCCCTACCACAATTATTCTTTCACTTGGTTCAGAAGTTCCTACACACTCACTTAACATCTCCCAAAGTCTCTCTCTCTCTCTCTCTCCTCTACACTCCTCTCTTCTCCAGGTGCATACACACTTATTATGACCCACTTTTTGCATCCACCCTTATTTTAATCCACATAATCCTTGAATTTATACATTTATATTCCCTCTTCTCCTTTCATAACTGATCCTTCAACATTTTTGTTGCCCCTTCCTTAGTTCTAACTCTCTAAGATACTCCTGACCTAATCCCATTTATTTTTCCCTACCAAAACTCACATACCCCCTTCAGCTTTGTTTTGCTCAGAGCTAGGACATCCCTCTTCTTTTCCTTCATAACATTAGCAATCATCTCTTTCTTATCCACACTACATCCACACACATTCAAGCATCCCAGTTTTATAAAGTTTTTCTTCTCCTTTTTAGTCTTTTCTACAGGAGAAGGAGTTACTAGCCCATTGCTCCTGGCATTTTAGTTGCCTCATACAACATGCATGGCTTACGGAGGAAAGATCCGACTAAAAATTTAGTAAAAAGCAGCTGCTTGTTACCCTAGTAGTTGGATGAGAGATGGCATCCTCCACACATGACACTGAAGTCTTCTGGTCACCAACATCCACCACACAGGCATATCCAAGACCAGCTCCGAAGGTTGCTGCCACGTGATCCTGCAACACAAAAGAAAAACTATTTTAAAAGCAACTAACATGCTCCTCTTAGCTTTGCATTAAGAATTAATGTACACATTTGTGTAGTGTTAGAGATCAGAAGCTAGGTAATCCTGCGCATATCAATGTATACTCACAACACACCATTTTCTGAAGAATATTTATATTTGCATCCCATCTTAATAATCTTCTTCCCTAACACTTCTAGATTCATACTCTCCTCTCTCATCTACTTCAACTCCTTCTCCCTCCTCCTCTACCTACCTACCTACCTACCTACCTACCTCCCTCCCTCCCTCCCTCTCCCTCCTCCCTCCCTCCTCTCCCTCCCTCCTCCCCCCCTCCCCTCTCCCTCCCTCCTCTCCCTCCTCCTCCTCCCTCTCCCTCTCTCCCTCTCTCCCTCTCCCTCTCTCCCTCTCCTCTCTCCTCTCCCTCTCTCCTCTCCCTCTCTCTCTCTCCCTCCTCTCTCTCCTCTCCCTCCTCTCTCTCTCTCTCCCTCCTCTCTCCTCCCTCCCTCCCTCCCTCCTCTCCCTCCCTCTCTTCTCTCCTCCCTCCCCCTCTCTCTCTCCCTCCCTCTCTCTCTCCCTCCCTCTCCCTCCCTCTCCCTCCCTCCCTCTCCCTCTCTCTCCCTCTCTCCCTCTCCCTCCCTCTCTCTCTCTCTCTCTCTCTCTCTCTCTCTCTCTCTCTCTCTCTCTCTCTCTCTCACAGAACCACCAATTTCTTTAGCCCCACTCTAAGAACATAAGAAAGAAGGAACACTGTAGCAGGCCTACTGGCTCATGCTAGGCAGGTCCAAGTCACACCAACCCACACCCACTCACGTATATGTCTAACCTACTTTTAAAACACCACAACGCTTCAACTTCAGTAACGTTACTCAGGAGTTTGTTCCATTCATCCACAACTCTATTGCCAGACCAGTGCATTCTTATAATCTTTTTAAATTTAAATGTTTCCAATTTGAAGCCATTGCTGTGAGTCCTGTCTTGTTTAGATACTTTTAGCACAAAAATGCAGTATAATGCAATCCTTTACTGACAACGTTAACCCACACAGTGGGCTTTATTAAGTCACGTCGTGTTGGTAGCCACCAGATCCCCATGGCCTGGTGGCCAAAGCACTTGCTTCACATGGCAAAGGTCCATGGTTCGATTCTTGGTTAGGGTAGAAACATTGGGTGTGTTTCCTTACACTGGTTGTCCATGTTCCCATCAGTGAAATGGGTACCTGGGTGTTAGGTGACTGGTGTGGGTCGCATCCTGAGACAAAACTGACCTAATTTGCCTGAAATTCTCTGCATAACAAGTTGCTTTCTATAATAATAATAATAATAGGCCTGCATACCTTGTACAAGTACTTGTAGTAAATAAAGAAATTATTATTATTATTCCTGTTTTCCATTTATGTACCTCAATCATATCCCCTCCCCTATAATTCTACACATTTCTAAAGAGTGCAGATTCAGGACCCTCAGTCTATCCTTGTAGGAAAGATTTTTGATACACTGGATCAACTTTGTCATCCTTCTTTGTATGTTTTCCAGCACATTTATATCTGTTCTGTAATATAGTGACCAGAACTGTGCAGCATAATCTAAACGAGGTATAACTAATGATATACAGTGGACCCCCGGTTTACGATATTATTTCATTTCAGACGTATGTTCAGGTGCCATTACTGAACGAATTTGTTCCCATAAGAAATATTGTGAATTAGATTAGTCCATTTCAGACCCCCAAACATACACGTACAAACGTGCTTACATAAACACACTTACATAATTGGTCGCATTGGGAGCTGATCATAAACCAGGAGTCCACTGTATAGAGTTGAAGAACAACCTGAGGACTCCTGTTATTTATACTTCTTGATATGAAGTCAAGAATTCTATTTGCTTTGTGAACACATATGCACTGCTGTCTTGGTTTTAGAGTACTGCTAACCAGAACTCCTAAATCTTCGCAGTTAGTGATATTAAGATCTACATTATTTAGATTATATGTGTAATGGTTATATTTCTTTCCAATGATATGAACTTTGCACTTGAAGTGGCAGCTGCAGTTGCATCTGCCACTTCTCCAACCATTGCATCACAGTCTACTCCGATCTTCCTGCAGTGCTCTAGTGTCCTTGTCAGAATTAATTCAACGGCCATATGTTATCAGCAAACTTGCTTATGTCACTATTTATTCCCTCATGTATGTAAAAAGTGAACAACAAGGGGACCCTACACTGACCCCTGTAGAACAATGCCTGTGAGGCATTCCCACTCTTTATCTACTCCTACTTTTTGTGGCATGCAAAGAGTATGTTATAATTTATTCGATGTATGTCACACTCCCATATAGGCTGCCTCCCAACCAGTGAATTGGGTGCTAAGGGTTTAACGATCAATAGGGTACCCGTTGTTAAGTCAGTACCTTGGTTAATTAGCCAATCACAGGCAAGCCATCCAAAGCTGAAGCAATGTAGTTCACTTGTGCCAAGCGAAATAACAGACTTGCCTAGCTGCTGGTTGAGCACAGTGCACACTCTCTGGCTTCTGCTTTGCCATCTGTCACTGTGGTGTACACTTACCATTTCTATCTGTACATACTGTACATACCTGTAGGCATATATAAATTAAAGTCTACTGTTGAGTTTTGTTTGCTCCATCTCCCATTACGACCAGGTCTCCCAGGCCATTCTTACCTGTGTTTATAATATGGGGGCCTGTCCAGGAGCTGGAGCTAGAGCTGGAATTGGTATCATTCAGATTGCCTCACTCTTGCTTTTTGTATTGCCTATCAGTCTTGCTACTGTGGGTGTATCTTGCAAGTTTATTGTGCTATTGCTGCTTGTTGCATACATTGCAAACAGTATTTTATAGTGGGTTATGGCACCAATATGGGTGAGGTGGTCGGTGTTTGAGTATACTCTCCTAAATCTGCCCAGATTATCTCTACAGCGTTGCTAGCGAATTACTCATTCTATTGACACAGAATATCAATGAACTCTTACTGCTGCGCAGCTTCGTGACACTATTTGTACCAGATTAGAGACTGAAGCAACTATAGCGCACCAAACTTAGGTATCTCCCACTACAAGAGCTATTAATCGCCGATCTCTGCTTAGGTTCCTTTGTAATGTGGGAGGGCTAAGCTAACACCAGAGTAATCAGACCAGCAGTCTCATGAAGCAGGTGGTGCACCAGGGTTGTCTCAGGGCAAATCAGCTTCATTGGTGCTTGAGTTAGCTAAACTTAATCTTGAAACAACCAGAGAGCAAAGTGCAGTTGCAAAAGAGGAGTTTGGTAGAAGGAGAGGAGGTAATTTAAGCAGACTGTTGGTGACAACTGTAGCATGCAAAAAGCAGTGCTGTTAGTACCTCACTTGGTTGAGCCTGAGCCTGAATAGTTTATCGAGGCATTTGAAAACCAGGCTTGCGCAATGAGCTGGATTGGGGAGCATTGGGCAGCACTAGTGCATGCAACATTGTATGGCAAAGCGCAAGAGTTCACAGCTGTCCTAGATGATGAGGATTTTGCCGATTATCAGGTTGTTAAATCAACGGTTCTTGGGGCATATCAGTGTATTCCTGCCAAGTACAGGAGGGAATTCAAATTGTGCAAGCATCAGCTGGGACAGTCTCATGTAGACTTTGTAAGGCAGAAATCAAAAAATTTCACAAAATGGCACAAGACGAGTCCAACTTCTCCGACTTGGTGCAATTACTTTTGGCGAACAACCTGCTGGAATCTGTTGAACCAGAGGTTAGAGTCTTTCTTGAAGATCATTCATTGACTACTGCATTAGAAGCAGCCAGGCTGGCTGACACATTTGAGGCCAACCGCTCCTTGTCCAAGCGGTCTAATCTTTCTTCCCAACTGCCTGGCACGAATAGAGATCATCATGGACATTCCTGACTGGAGGACAAAGTGGCAGGCTACAAGTGAACAACAACGCCAACAAACTAAGTTGTCTGGTGAGCAATGACATCAAAACCATGGTAAACCTGGTGAGCAACGACATCAAACTTATGGTCAACATGGTGAAAAATGATGTCTGTACCCCAAGTGGTGCCAACCACAAAAATCAACAGGGAGCAAAATTAAAGTATAAGGTAACCTGTTATCGTTGTCACAAACCAGGCCATGTAAAATCCAACTGCCCGATTAAGCCCCAACCCTCAGGGAAAATCAACATCCTCCCTTTCGAGGTGAACCAGAAAGAAGTAGAGTATGGCATGGCACCATACTACAGTACGTGCCACATGTCCCTTCAGGAGAATGAAAAAAATTAAAGTAACCACTTCTAGGGATACCAGGGCTTATTGTTCTCTTATAGAAGAGGGAGTACTCCCCTTCTCTGAAAAGATGTCATTACACTCCTCCGTTCTCTTAGAAGCATTTGGAGGAGCTGTATTTTCTGTCCCTTTACATAAGTTACATATGAAGAGTAAGTATTATACACATTTGACTTTAGGTGTATCTGATGGATTCCCTAAGAAAGATGCTGTTATTGCTGGGTAATAATATTATTAATTCAACAAAATGTCCAGAACCTATAGTGACTAATTCTTTTCTGATGTTGGCCATAACTCGGGCAAAATCCCAAGGGATGTCTGTCGAGAATGCTGACCCATCCTTGGACAACTCAGATCTAGGGCTAGACAATATGTTTTATGAGGGAAACCAGCTAGAGGCTCATAAATTTAGTGAAAAGTCCCAGATCAAGTCTTCCTACTCCAGGGTTTCATGATTGCCAGATATCTGTTTCCATGCCCGACGGACTGTCCTTTCGGGAAGAACAGCGAAGAGATCCTTCCTTTAACTTCCCTTTACAGGCAGCCATGGGTGAATCCCACTCAGATAACTCAGTCAAACATGAAATTAAACACAACCTACCGCTCTGCACTGAGACTGGTAAAAAAGTAGGGTAAACCTCAAAATTAGATAGACTGGTAGTTTCTAAGAAATTTAGGTCACAAATTTTGAACATAGCTCACAATTTCTTTTTAGGAGGTCATTTCAGAATTACAAAAACCATTTACAGAATATTGAAAGAATTTAACTGGCCAACTGGACTTTTTTGGGTTATCCTAGGTTCTCTACACATATGCTGCTATGTATGATAATCTATGTAACTGTATTTGTGTATACCTGAATAAACTTACTTACGTAGCTAGTAGGATGTGAAAAATCACATCCACTCTTGTAGGGAATATCAAAAAGTAGGTAACCTGGACACCCCATTAAACCTGCACCACTTCATCCATATACCTGCAGATGGAAAACGGTTTGCTGAGCTACTCACTGATTGTGTGGGACCATTACCAAAATCAAAGTCAAGGAACCACTACCTATTCACTATCATGGATAAAGCTACTAGGTATCTGGAAGTTGTCCCAATGTGCAGTATAAACACTAAAGCCATTCTTAGACCCATAATTAAATTTATATCTTACTTTGGCATTCCAAAGTCTATCCAGAGTGACCGGGTACTATACAGCCAAAGCTTTTAGAGAAGCTTTAACTAAGCTAGGTATAATTCATAAATTATCTGCTGCCTATCATCCTCAGTGTACACTTACCATTTCTATTTGTACATAGTGTACATACCTGTACATATTGTACATAGTGTACATACCCATATATATTTGAAGGCAAATATAAATTATAGTCTACTGTTGAGTTTTGTTTGCTCCAGTTCCCATTACGACCAGGTCTCACAGGCCATTCTTACCTGTGTTCAAAATACTCTTCAAGCTCAGTCATTCCCTTCTGCTCTCTTCCTTTCCACTCTTCCTCTTCAAACATTCTCTTTACTCCTACTCTTCCCCTACCTTCAGTATCGCTTTATCCTCTTCTCATTATCTCCTCCCAACATATTACTGACACTAACTGTGGCATGCAAAGAGTACGTAACCTTTATTCGGCGCATGTACACACCCTCATTTACATACAAGCTATCTCCCCCAACCAGCGAACCAGGTAACTAAGAGTTGACGATGGGGCCCCGTCGTTCAACTAGTGACCAGGTTCCAGCCAATAAGAAGATGGTTTTGGCAATCGCAGAGGTTATGTGGGTACCACTCTCCTGTCTGTCATTTCCATTCTAGAGCTGGTTGAAGCACGGTCTGCTCTCTTGTGGCTTCTATTCTGCCTTGCTTACCGTGGAGTGCACTAATACCTATCACTGTACATAGTGTACATATTGCTGTTCTAAATTGGTGAAGGATAATATAAGTCAAAACTTTTCTGCTGTGTTTATTTTGCTCCCTTTACACCCAGGATAACAGGCCATTTGGACTCCTGGGTTGTAATATGGGTAGCCTGTCCGAAAGCTGGAGCTGGACTTAGAGAAAGGGTTGAGCCTAGGGTGAAGCTGGTAGCAGGAACATTGTGCAGCTTGCTGTCTGGCATTGCATTAGCTTTGCCAACGCTTTATAAATTTTGCGTGTCAGTTACTTTGCTATGGTCAGCCTTGCTATTGTGTGATTGTTCATCAGCTCGCTACTAGCTTGTTCGGTGTGCTCGCTTCGCTACGGTCAATCTTGTAGAACAGTGTGTAGCTGGCTGTCTGGCATTGTTTTACAAATTTTGTGTCAGTTGCTACTAGCCTGTTCAGTGTGGAGAATTTTGCAGTCAGCTTTGCTATTGCGTATCCACCTTGTATGCGTATTCTGCAATCGTACTGTGCATAGCTAAGCGCGTTCTGCAAATTAACGTGTTACGTTGGGGTATTCTGCAATCGTACTGTGCATAGCGAATAACTTATGCCACCTAGACGAGTTAGACGTCTGGTGTAGGCATATACTTTGCATAACCTACCTAAATTGTCCCTACAGCGTTGTTGGCAAATTGCTCGTTCCATTGGCATTAAATACAAACGCACTCTCACAGCTGCGCAACTGCATTCACTGATTGCTGACAAACTTAGAGAAGAAGAGATGGCACATCAGACTCCTCCCTCTACGGGAGCTAGGGCAAAAACTACTATGTTCTCGCAGGAGGAAGATGATAAATCAACGGAGCAAAACAGTCAGTGTAGTGCAGCTGGGATGTCTCAAGGTGAATCAGCAGCATTGGCACTTGAGCTGGCAAAAATCAATCTTGAGCAGACTAGGGAACAGAGAGCATTCGCAAGAGAAGAATTTGATAGGGAAAGAGAAAGGAGGCAGTTTTCGCATTCTGTAAATGATTTTAGTTTACAGAAAGCAGTACAGCTTGTTCCCCGCTTCAATGAGGCCGAACCAGAACAATTTTTCGAAAGCTTCGAAAATCAGGCTCGAGCTTTGAGGTGGCTGGAACAGCATTGGGCAGCGTTGGTTCAAACAGCATTGTTTGGTAAGGCACAGGAATTTACGTCAGTATTAAATGACGCTGAATTTTCTGATTATCAAGTAGTGAAAACCACAGTGTTGGGAACATATACATGTATCCCAGCTAAGTATTGTAAGCTTTTTAAGCTGGGCAGACCACAGCTTGGTCAATCCCTAGTGGATTTTGTGCGTCAACAGACCAAAGCTTTTATCAGCTGGTATAAAGCAAGTGGTGTCACCTCCTTTGAGGAGCTGGTACAGCTTATTCTGATTGACAACCTGCTGGAGTCTGTGGGACCAGAGGTTCGAGTCTTTCTGCAGGATTGTGACTTAACCACTGCATTGGAAGCAGCCAGGTTGGCTGATACCTTCGAAACTAACCACTCCTTGTCCGAGCGGTCCCGTCTCTCTTTTCAATAGCCTGGCATGAGCAGAGATCGTCAACCTTGGAGAATGAAGTGCCAACCGGAGGGAGAACGTCTACGGCAGCCAACTAAGTCACCTGGTGAGCCACGCTTCTCAACTTATGGTCCACCTGCTGAGAGACAAACTACTCAACATGGTGCATCTCGACAACAGTATCCAGAGAGACACCAGCCAGAGCGACACCAGTTGCAACGTCAGCAGGAAGTAAAGGGCAAGCCTGTCGTCTGCTTCCTCTGTAACAAAGTAGGTCATATCCGTCCCCAACTGCCCCCACAAACCCCAACCCATCGGGGAAAATCTCTAATATCCCTAGAACATGTCCCCTGAGAGATGTAGAAAAAGGGATGGCCCCTTATTATTGTAAAAGTTTATTTCCCTTCAGGAAAACTCAGAAACAACTGAAGTAAAACCTTGAGATACTGGAGCATATTGCTCACTTATAAGGAAGGAATATTACCCCTTTCTAAGAACACTTCCTTGAATTCCTCTGTTTTATTGGAAGCATTTGGGGGGAGCTATTATTCTGTCCCTTTGCATAAAATTTATGTACAGTGCAAATATTACACTGGGTACTTGGGCTGTGGGTTGTCTCCAAAGGATTCCACATGAAGATGCCATGTTATTACTGGGTAAAAACATAGTACTGCTAGTGTGTGTCCTGAACCTTATAATGATTAATTCTTCTCCGGTGTTGACCATAAACTTTGGGGAACATCCCAAGGGTTGTCTGGCGAGAATGTTGACCTATCCTTGGACGACTCGATCTCGGAATAGCCTGTTGTTTTATGAGGCACACCGGCCGGAGCCCCGTAAATCAAGTGAAAAAAGACCCAATCAAAACCTTCCTATTCCCCGGTTGCAGGATTACCAGATATCTCTGTTTCCATGCCCGAGGGACTGTCCTTCCGGGAGGAACAATGAAAGGACCCTTCTTTAAAATTCGCTTTTCAGGCAGTCATGGGTAAATCCTCTTTGGATCATCCGGTCAAGTATGAACTTCAAAACGATTATTTGATCTGCACTGAGACTGGTAAGGAGATAGAGGGCCGGCAATTGTCTGACAGATTAGTGGTTCCAACAAAGTTTAGACCTCAAATATTAAATATAGCTCATAATACTTCATTAGGAGGTAACTTAGGAATTACTAAAACCTTGTATAGAATTACGAAAGAATTTTATTGGCCAAAATTAAAGCAGGATGTGAAGCATCATATCAGGTGTTGCCAAGAATGTCAGCAAGTATGGAAACCTGGACATTCCATTAAACCTGCACCTCTCCAACCTATACCTGCTGATGGAGAACCTTTTGCAGATTTAATTATAGACTGTGTAGGTCCACTACCTAGGTGAAAGTCGGGAAATCAGTATTTATTTGCGATTATGGATAGAGTAACCAGATATCCTGAAGCAATTCCCATGTGCAGTATTAATACTAAAGCTATTCTCAAAGCTTTAACCAAATTTATTTCTTGTTTTGGCATTCCTAAAACTATTCAAAGTGATCAAGGTACTAACTTCACTGCCAAAGCATTTAGGGAAGCATTAACTAGGTTAGGGATAATCCACAACTTATCCACTGCCTATCATCCTCAGTCCCAAGGCGCCTTGGAAAGATTCCATCAGACGTTAAAAACCATGATGAGAACTTTTTGCATGCATTTTCTTACAGACTGGGATGAATCACTACCTTTGTTGCTGTTCTCAGTACGAGAAACGGTGCACAAGTCTACAGGGTATAGTCCGTTTGAGCTGATCTTTGGGCACAATGTATGAGGTCCTCTTCGGGTGCTCAAAGAAGGATGGATGGGAGAAGACATTAGCTCAACACCCGTCTTCAAGGTTGCAGGTGGCACGTCAGTTAGCCAAGGCTAACCTAAAGACAGCTCAAAATATGATGAAACAGAGGTATGACAGAAGTGCACAATTCCGCTCCTTCCATCCAGGAGACAAGGTGTTGGTGCAGGAACCTATACCTGGCCACACCTTGAAAGCTAGATTTACGGGACCTATGCAGATTGTAAGTAGATTATCTGATGTAAATTATGTGGTAGCTCCCATTGGTAAGACCTCAAAAACTAAAACTTACCACATTAATCAATTAAAATCTTTTCATACACCAGATAAAGTCCCAGTAATGACTCTGTCCTCTACCTCTGAGGACAACTCTGATTCTTTGCACTCTATCTCTGAAATTAATGTTAAATTTTCAAATTCTGTCCTCAAGGATCCTAGCCCTCTAATGGAGGGACTATCTGAAACGCAAGCAACAAGTTTAACTGAGCTTCTACAGTCATATCCTAATATTTTTTCAGATGTGCCGAAAAAATGTACGTTAGGTTATCATGATGTAGATGTGGGAAACTCTAAACCTCTTAAACTCTCCCCCTACAGAGCTAATCCTGAAAAGCAGAGGCTACTTCAGCAGGAAGTAGAATTTCTGTTAGAGCATGGTTTAGTGGAGGAGTCATCTAGTCCATGGGCTTCACCGTGCATCCTTGTTAAGAAGACTGATGGAGGGTTTCGTATGTGTACAGACTACCGTAAGG